CCAGAAAGTGTTTCTTGCCGGGCCTGTCAGCACTTCCCCCTTCCCTCCCCGGGACCGACAGGCTTACGGGAAGCGGAGCAGCAGCAGGTCACCCCCCCTTTGCTTGGCTTCCTGCCGCACTGGGAATGGAGCAAGGCACCTGATAACTGCCTGGGTCCCTGGGGGCACGTGCAGGCAGGCAGCGAGCGGGAGCACACGCTGGGGAAGAGCTCCGCTAGTAAGAGCAAGCAGGGCTTCTGCGGGGCCGGGTCCCAGCGACAGAGCCAGGGAAGTGCCCCAGCCAGTTAAGCACCAGAACATTTGGATGGGAAGTGCAGAGAGGGGAAGGTGTTGGCAAAGGTGCACATGGGGTCTACGGAGCAGAACGAGAAAGGTGGGATAGATAGCTGACCCCGAGACTCGGAAACGCGTTCCCCAGAAGGAGAAAGGAGGGAACGAGCTAAGAGGAACGGGAAGTACATTTCGACCCTTTCAGGTGAGCATCCCCCAGTCCCCGCTACTATCAAATCTGGATTTCACAGTGCTGTTTTCCCCAGGCCAGCAGACAGGGAAACTAAATGAGTCTCCCAAGATCAGGCAGTGAATCAGCCGCAGAGGTCGTATCAAGAGATCCCTGGACTATTGCCTTAATTATAAGTCTTACCTTTAGTCCTTCCACTGAATGCTCGATTTGATAAGGAAAACTGTACAAAGAAAGGCTCTGGCTGGCTTACAGTGTCAGTGCACATTCATTGCACAAGTAGAAGAGTGACTTTGGCGATCAGGTTGCACTGATACATTTCCAAAATGATGTTAAAGAGTGTTTTATCAGTGGCCATACATTGACTTTCTTTGGGGGCGAGGAGGACGTTCGCATTATGCACCATAAAGCCCACCAAGATACGCTTTGGGGAGAGCTAGAAGCATGAGGGTTACGTTCCTGCCCTGAACAACCCGCTCTTCTCTGTCGATAGCACCTGCCTAAACTCCATGTCTAATCTGGATAGTGCAAATACTCCCTTTAGTGCATATTACTATTTCTACCTCCACATGCTGTCTGTGCTATGGACATAACTCTTGTTTCAGTTCTGGGTAAAGGACTTGTTTTCCTCCAGCCAAATAACTTTCCCTGCTGTCTGCTTAGATGACACAATCGTGTACAAAGTCCAGAACCTGCAGTGGACAGCTGATTTCTCTGGCGATGTCACTTTAACATGGGCCCGGCCAAAAAAAATGTCCTCAACCTCCTGTGTCTACAACGTGTATTACAGGTACGTTGCGTATTACAAGTACATCGCATGACCCGTTGCTATCTCTATCAAATAAAGGACAGGAGAAGCATGAGCACTGATAACAGTATCCGTCTATTTACGACAAAGTACCAAACCGAGTCGGGCCTTGACAGACTGGGAACTTTGCAACCCATTTCTGCTTGAAAAATCTTCTAATACTTTGTTACAAAGGAGACCCAAAATAGCTGTGAAAAGCTCTCTTGCTTTGTACAGAGTGTTTACTTTGACTGTAACGCGGGTATATTCAGTTTTCGTTTTCTGCTTGGGTCTTGTCTTTGTGGGACCGCTAACAGTGAGAACAAAGTCAAGAAATTAGAGCACAGCAGTTGTAGAAACCTCAGAGGATGGCGGCTATAAGCATTAAGCTATGTTCAGTTCATGCTTTGAAATGGTTTCTTTTCAAGTTGGTGGTGTGGCTTTACTGAAAAGAAAAGGAAGAAGCAAGTTCTTAAAATATAGTTAGATATTTCATCTTTTAGGACGAGCTGAGCCCCCTCTGTCACTAAACTTCCTCCTGAGTGAAGTGCTTTGACTCTCTTGCGCAGGACGGTGGGTGAAAGCGTTTGGAAGGTCTTGGAAACCCACAGCAACAAAACAAACAGCGTTTTGAAAGTCCTCAAGCCAGACTGTACCTATCAGGTGAAAGTCCAAGTGCAGTGTCTCAGCAGAGTGTACAACACCAATGACTTCATCACCCTCCGGGCACCCGAAGGACGTAAGCAGACCCGCGGGGCTCATTTCACGTGCCTGATTCCTGCTACTTTAGCCTAGAAAGGGACCGCTGAGATAACCCCACTGTAAAGAAAAAGGGGTCTTCCCTGAATCACAGTCCACGCCAGTCTTTTCAGCAGGCCCAGGGAACTGCCCAGGACTGGCTAACAGCGCTGCAGCTTCCTGGCCTAGAGTCAGTCCTGGCATTAAGTCAAGACCCTGCTTGCTTTCTTCCCCTATAATTTTGAGTTTCAGTATCACTAGGAAATTCATTTCTTCTTACAACGCAGTGACGAACCTGTGGGGCTGTTCTGTACCGCGTGCAAGGGACAAGATAATCTAGCTGCACGCCGAAGGTCAGATTAAGGAAAAGATGCAAAATAAAGCGGAGCGCTTAGCAAAATCTTAGCTTCACTAAAAAGGCTTCATTGCCCCTGTGGGGTACGGAAGGGACATGGGGCACAACTGTGGGAAGAAGGCATCTTCCCTCTCCCACGTGCCAGGGCCACGTGGTCAGCCCCGCTCGTTTCCCACCCGTCTGAGAGACCCTGTCCTGCTCTTGCTTTTTCCCCTGTGATCTGGATGCACCGACCATGGCAGGGGCTGTGTCACTAACACCTTTGTTTCTTTCCCCAGTACCAGATGCTCCCCTTAACCTTCAGCTGTCCTTAAAAAAAGAAGCTGAGGGGGTGGTGACTGGCTGCTGGAGTCCTCCTGTGAACGCCCACGGGCTCATACGGGAATTCATCGTGAGTCCTGCAGCACAGCGGGGGGCCGGGGATGTGGGACAGGAGCCCTGCTCACCCCTCGGAGAAGAACGGGTCCTAAGGGCTCCTAGCAGTGGGGATTCGCCTTTCTGAACAAAAGCGATCTCTGCAGAGGGTGGGGGGGTCCCAGAATAGGGCATTTGTAGAGGACATCTTCTGTGAGTGTTAGGCAAGAGAGGAGAAGAAATGCTGCAGGACTGCAGGCAGTGACACAGTCCTTAAATTCAGGATTTCATTTCTGGCTCCCTTTCCAAGCTTTTATAATTCAATATACTGACATTTTATAATTCAATATACTGACATTTCAATGCCGCTGTGACCCTGTGGCATGGGTGGCTGCAGGGCCTTCATTGCTTGTTTCTGTGCTCCCAGGTGGAATACAGCAGAGGTGGATCCAAGGAGTGGTCGTCCCTGAGAACTACCAGGAACTATACCGAGATCAAGAACCTACAGGTCAACACGTTATACACCGTTAGAGTGAGTATTTTCAAAGCTTTAATTATAGGAGTACTATGGATGCTCTCATTTTTTTCCGCTCGATGGTCTGGGAACTGCACAGTCAACTAACTGTTAGAAAGCATGTTGTTAAAATCTGCCTTTTCTTGTCAACCCACAAAGGGGACTTGGCGTTTGCGCTGGTAGTATATATAGTTTCAAGGCCTGAATTCTGCCCCTTGATTTGCTCCTTCTCCCAGGAGGCCAGGCTGTATGATGAAATCTGTGCTATTAATTGCCCATTTCAAAGTCACTGCCATTGCACCGGATCTGGGCCAGAGATAAATTTGGTCCTAACTGTATCGCTGGGTAAAGGAACAGATATACATGTGGAGAATGCATGCATATGGGAGAAGCAGGGTAATTATAGACTGAACTGATAAGAATAGGAAATCAAAGTCTGCAAAGTGAACCCTGTCAAATGTATACCCTGCTATTGTCCATCCTCCGAGTGCTGACTGATCAGGGATACTTGCGGGAGTTCACTGTGAAATTGAGGATGGGGATAAAACCCGTCATGAATCAGTGTTCCTCATGCGGTCACTTAGGCAATTCTGTTTGCCTGCTGCGTTGGAGTGAGCCTTTCCTTCTGTGCTATTCCTTCCTATACTAACCTGTTTGCAAATTAATCTTTGGAACTGGATTCAGTGCTAGCAGGGGCTTAACCAAAGTGGTGGCTACATATACCAGGGCTGGGGATTCCAGACCGCCTCATCTTCATAGACTTTTTAAAAAGATCTCGTAAGATAGTGGTTATCTGCAAAGCAGATGCACCCCAGCCTTCTTAGATTCCCTTAATTGACTTGATCTGCTTTATCTCTGTTCATAAGCATTTTATTACCACGTAATTAAGCTATTGTTTGCTTCAAAGTCCTTTTCCCGTGAGTTCTGCCATGTGAGTAGCCTTGCTCTAACCTCGTTCTCTGGCTGCAGCATACAGTGGCGGCAGTGTACATTTTTTCATATTAACTCACCCTCTTATTTGAAAAGGTTGCTGCGGTAACTAGTCGAGGAGTGGGAAACTGGAGTGATTCCAAATCTATAACCACCATAAAAGGCAAAGGTAAACACTGTTGTTGTTTCGGTTTAAATCGATTTGGACAATGTAGCAAAAACTCTGAACATTAGCCTGAAATTTTAGCATCAACACGTATAACCACCTTCTGGGTTTTTTCTTCCCTACTGGGCATTTTACAACCTTTAGCAACTTTGCTCTACCATTTCACTTAACTTCAGCTGCCCGAAAGTTCAGAACGGTTGATGAACTGGTTGTTGACTCTTCCTCTGTGCCCTGAGGCGCGTAGGATGGGAGTACTGCCTCTGGAAGTGCGTGAGAAACACATCCAGAGGGTGCCCCTCTCTCCTGGGCTGCAGAGGGATTCCCAGTAACTTTTGTAGGCTAGATCCTACCTTTGGCTAGGCGAGGTGCATTACCATTAACTCCTTCAGTACTTCTGCCTGAAAGGGCACCTGTTCTTTCCTTTCCCTGTTAGCTTATGGTGGTTTCTGCGTTTCACCCAGGCTAGACCACTAGAAGACCACGAAGGTTCCCAGGAACTATCACAACACTACAGTCATTCCCTTGCAGACAGGAGATAAATGGAAACAAAACAATAAATCATTTCCCACTGAAATGTTTTTGAAAAGCCTTTTTGAAATCGTTTGTATTCATGACAACTATTTTTTTTCAAACCTATATTCTGATGTCAGAATTGTCTGCTATCTAATTTGTCAGATGAAAGTGCATCCTCACTGTGTTGTCAAAGAAAGAAAAGAAAACACCACGCTACTAAAAATGCAGGATTCTTGATAATATGAAGAGCACGAATACCTGACAATTAGAGATAGCTAGGAAACAGATGTAGAAAGATCTATAACGCCTTTCACTTCAGATTTTACATTAGAGCTTTGCAGCTGTCCCTGCTGACAGCTCCTGACCCCCCATCACTGCTTACTCTGAAGGCCCGAAAACGTGGACTGTGATACAGAGCTCTTCCCAGTCAGTTGAGCAATGAAATACTTATGTCTGGTCCTCTCTGTGTTCATCCTGTGCTAGCAAGGCTCAGAAATGTAAGGCAACTTTTAGGTGATTGATCGGATAAAATAACAGCAGATGTGCATTTTGTGTATCAGTACCTTTTTCTGAGGGACACGTGTCTTAGAGCCAGGCAAGGCTGGCACCGGAAAGGCTGGGAAACTGTCAGTCTGATACACGAACGTCATTGTGAAAGTCTGTATTTTTCTCATCCTCTCTAAGTATTAAAAGTAACAGCTGTTTTTTACCTTCCTTCCAGTCATTCCTCCACCTGTCATACATATTGAGAGCTACAGTGACGACTCCATAAGTTTCACCCTAAAAATGAATACTAATATCAAGGTAAATTTTTTACCTTTTCTTCTAAAACTGTGGTAAAGAAAAGGCCTGAGCTGGAAAAATTATAAATATTGAATGGGATAGGTAGGATCACTCACTTAAGTATTACAATTACTTTTTAAAACTAATTTTTTAATACTGATTTACTACTTAATTCTTATCAACTGCCCTAGCTTTCTTAATTAGGATGGAAAATAAAATGCACAGATTTA